CGCGCTGGCTACGACGCGTACCGGATGGATCATGAACTCGAACTCGGAATAGACTGGGTCGAAATTCGCCGCAAGCACATGGAGTTCTCCGAGCGGTGCGACGCCCCCGCACAGGCCCCCCGCGCACCTGGCAGCCGCGACACGCCGGCACCCTGGTCAGCAGAAGCCCGCAGGGACGGGCGAGCAGCGGCACGGGCCCCCTTGGGCAGCCGTCAATCCATCGGGTGCCCCCGATCAATGGCGAGGCTGGCAGGCATGGTCCTCATGGGGACGTCGCGACACCCCATGGGCGGGCCCCGAATGGAAAGGAGGAGGCAAGCGATACTCTCCGCGTGAAGACCACCGCGACTCTGAAAAACGAGGCCGCTGGTGGGCCAAGAGCGACTCCGCAGCCTAAGGATGACTCGCTTCCGCCATCGGGCTGCAGGCCGTGGCGGCCCTCACCGTCCAGGTACCCCCGCCACCTCAGCGACGTCTCCGGGTCTTCCTCGCCACATCCCGCCATCCTTGGCCCCGACTGGGCCCGTTTCACCTCGCTGCGCCCGGCCCGGGCCGTAATGCCCGGGGCCGCCCTGCGTTGTGGCGGGGGCCCCCCCCCCCCCTCTCCCTGGCGCAGCTTAGCTAGACAGCCCTCGCTGGTTAGAGGCGCGTGGGCAGCGCGCTCCCCGTCGCCCACCCGCTGCCCTTTCGGGCGCGCCGTCGGGGCTATCCCCCCTCGGGCGCCCGACACACCTCACCCCCGCTTGCGCCCCTGGGCCACGACTGGCTCACGCCTGTAGAGGCCTCGGCCACCTTGGAAACGGCTGCCCTAAGATGGCAGACGGCCTCCGCGGCGCCCTGGACTGGGGAAGAGCCGTCCCAGCTACCCCTCCCCCCAGTCTGGATGCAGGCGCGGGTAAGGCCCAGCGCGGGTCTCAGTTTTGGCGCGCCGCAGGCGCAGGGTCGGATCAGCGCGCCACTGGGGCAGGGCGGCCGCGTAGCAAGAGAAATCAGCCCCGTGCCGTTGCAGTCGTGCACTCTGATACGGAGAGACGAGGCAGCCGTTGAGAGGCTGGCCACGCGCTGCGACAGGTGCGGCCCCCCTGGACCATCTCATCCCTGAGCAGCCGTTAGCTGCGCCCCTGGTATCCCCGGCGCGCGGGCAGGCGCTGCGCGGCTTGCATTGCTGGCGGGCCGACGGTGCTGTTCGCATTATGCCCATTGCAGGCTTCGCCTACCCTGGGAATGCACCGCCCTCTTCTCCCAACCCTGAGCAGCCGTTAGCTGCGCCCCTGGATCTCGTACCCGGGCCTCGGCCCTCCCCGAGCTTCCCTACTTCGCCAGGTGATCTTGGTGAGCCCCTCCGCCTGGAGGGCCAGTGATGTCTGTCCCCGCCGGCCCTCCCCGCGGGTCCCTCCCTGGCAGGGCGGGCTGCCAGGTTCGCGTGCCCCTGGATCGCGGGGGTGTTCATTCTCTGTGCAGCTCCTCCTTGGATTCTTCTACCACGCTGGCGATGTTCGTCCCCGCCAGCCTGGCTTGTCACACTCAGTGCGTCGTTCACCGCGCTTTGAGAGCGGGTGACTGGGGTCAGGCCCTCAGGGTACACCACAGGGCCAGCGCCCCACGAGCTCGGGATGGTGGGCCTTGGAGCCCCATGGTCGCTTCGGAGTGGTTCAGCCTTCCGTCAGACGCGGCGCTTCCCCTGGACCCATTCCAGCCATTCAGGCAGGTTTTTCGACGGCACCTCGGGAGCTTAGCCCACCTAGCTTGCATGCGCCGCTGGTGCGGCCCTGGACCTGGCGCCCCGCTGGCGACTCGTTCATCGTTCACCTCGCCTGTGCGAACTCCAGGCGTGTGAGGCGCGTAGGCATCTGACCTGGCCCGGCCGGCCTGCGGCGCGCCTGGTAGCTAATTAGGCCCGTTTCCGCGCCCCGGACCGCTTCTGACTCCGCCTGCGCCTTCGCTTGCGGACGCGACCGAAAAAGTATCCCCACCAATGATCCCGCGCTCGGTCGCTGTGTAATGAGGCTCGCGCGTAGCCCGCTCGACCTTTTCGGACGCCTCCTGCGCTTTCGCTTGCGGCCGCGACCAAAAAGTATGCCCACCAGTCTCGCTCCTGTGCGCTCTTGTGCGGAATTTAGTCCGCTGCTCGTTGGCCGCGTTTCTTGACGGTGCCTGGCATTCCTGCGCGGTCGCGAGCTAACAAATCCCCACCAGCTCCTCGGCGTCCCTCGGCGGCAGGTTCGGCGGCCGTTAGTTCGCGCGCTTAGGTAATTAGGTTTGGCTCGTAGCCCGGGCTGACTTCGGACGCCGCTTGCGGCCGCGACGAACAAAATATCCACAGCAGCCCATCCAGACACGATTGTTGGCCTTCTTGGGGCCTCTGGGAGATTATTTTGAGCCATGTTCGGCCAGAGGTTGTCAGAGGCAATCCTGAGCCATGCTCCGATATCATGGACCATATCGAGGCTGTCTTGAGTCTATCGGAGGCTATCTTGAGCCATACTCGACCTCCCGGGACCATCTTGGGGGTAGGATGAGGAAGAGGAGAGGGATGAGAAGGAGGAGGAGGAGGAGGAGGAGGAGGAGGAGGAGGAGGAGGAGGAGGAGG